TTAACAGTTTTGAAGTGTTTGATTCATTGGCAGTAAGGAATACACAATGTTGCACCACTTTCCTTACTAGTATATGATTTCCAATTCTCCAGCCCCCTCTAGCCTCGGATCAACCATATTCTGATTTCACTTACTTCCTGAGGGAAATGTAGAGATTTCATAATAGTTCCTTCGAGATGAGGAGAAAGGGCCTACACTAGATCACAAACACTGAGTATCTTCTTCCCCTGAACGACACTAGTCATTGAAGATTTTTTCCGTAAAGAATCAGGAGTCCTTCCTTCTTCGCCACAGTGTCAGGCTCTGTGCTCCACACCCTTCGTCTCTTCCTAGGCAGGAGTGGCAGGAACCGTACTGTTTTGTACTTTAATTTTGTCACTCCATATCAGGGCAGAGGTGAAGTAAAGAAGGAAGGGAGACAAAAGTGTGTTGCTTTGTTTTGGACAATACTTTATATGTGTGCATGGTACTGTGTGTGTGTGTGTGTGTGTGTGTGTGTGTGTGTGTGTGTGTGTGTGCACACATGTGATAGTCTGGAGATAAAATCCAAATCCTCTTAGGCAACCATTCAAATATACTAATGCTTGTGTAACCACCATGTTTTGAATGACAAGCATGTACACTTTTGTTTTATAATCTGATGCTGTTTTTGAGAAAAAGTCCATTCAGTGGTGCCCTGAGGAGGTCAGACTTCTTCAAAATGACCCCCTTCTCAGTCTTTTTCGTGAACTGCTGTGTGCAGTTCAGAAAAGGCATCATGGTACATGGGAAAAGGCACAGCACATGGGAACACTGTCATGTGCTGTTTAAACTTGCTGAAAGCAGACTCTGAGAGTGAGAAGGGCCCTCCTGTCCTAGACCCTGGCATGTTATTCCAAGTATCTCCCCAAATGTCCTCCACATACTCTTTTCTGGGACAGGCTGGGCTGCTAACTCTGTAGGAGGGAAGAAACAGAATCGGCAAAGCAGCCCACGAGTACTGTCCTTGGGAACAGCTGGAAGGTGACTCACTTCCAAAAATGTTACTGCTGCTTATCTCCTATATAGAAGTATCTGAAGTGGGAAGGCAAAGACAGCAGCTCAGCTGTGAGAAGCTCATTCATGGAGACAAATCTCAACTGTGAGGTCCAGCTGACTGCCTCAGTTTGCCCAATATTTCTGCTGGGTGTTTGGAGGCCCCCAGTCTGATTGCTCTCTCAGCCAGGCTACCCCAGTCATCACTGCTGAATGTGGTAAATTCCGATTTGATAATATGTTGCTACTACCTGCTGCTTCAATGATGCTTACTATTTATCCCTTTACTTTTGATCGCTATATGTGTAATAAACTTACTAATTCCAGACAGAAATCATAGCTCACATAGGACATTCTCTAGACTGGCCTTACAGAACACATGGTCCAATCTGCTATCAATCAAACATCACAGAGCAATGACAGTTCAGTATGACCACAGTCAAAGACTAAAGGTAGAAATGGTTTCCTTAGGCAATAACTTGATAGCTTGGGAACTGCAGTCCTCTCATGCTGTACTGGGTGAGAAGCAGCCTTTCCCCAGGCAGAGCTGATATGAAGTTACTGAGAATGCCCAGCAGACATTTGTGCAGCTGTTTACTCTTCACCTGTTCTAGCTGGACCTGCGTGCACCACAGGTAAATCGCCATGCTCCCAGATGCTCACTCAGTTCCAGCTGTTGCAACATCAATATTCTACACTTTTAGTGCTCTCTATCCAGAAGGTATAATGTACAGTCTCTGGGCTACCTTGAGATCTATTGCTGCTCTCACAGTCTGTGTTCATATCCTCTATCTTCTGGGCTAGCCTCATCTACTGCAGTTCTAGATCCTGTAGTTCCCTTGCAGTTCCTTCTGTAGAGCCTTTCCCTCATAACCTATGATAATGTGGTCTCTAGACAGTCTGAATTATCTATTCTGGAACAGTGAGTTGGGCATCCAGATGTTTTAACATACTGTTTATATACTCATCAGTCAGCAGGTGGTCCATATCTTTTTGTACAGAGAAAATGCCTAACATGTCTGCAGAGGCTCTCTGGATACTTCAGTGTTCCCATGGAGGCAACTTCACCAAGCAGGACAAAGTTGTTAGCACTTCCATTGGGCATCCTGGCATTGCCAGAAGCCTTCCACGATATGTCATTGGTGTGGAGAGGCCACTGTTCTTGTGTTCTCCTGGCACCCACAGACTGAGCTATTTTGATGGATTGTTCAGGGGCTGGCTGTAGCACTGGCACATGAAGTAAACAGAAGACATCATAGAGATCTTCACTCTTGAGTCTGAAGTCTCAGTATTTTCTGGCTTCCCAGTTGCTTCTCATTTGACACCTTTTTCCTCCTAGCATAGTGATACTTTTAGAAGTCACATCCTAACTTCTATTTATATGAATTTGTCTATTTTTTAGGTATCTTTAAAAAAAATTTATAATTAATTTAATTTTACATATCAGCCACAGATTCCTCTGTCCTCCCTTCTCCCACCCCACCCTGCCCTCCCCCCTAATCCACCCCCGATTTCCATCTCCTCCAGGGCAAGGACTCCCCTGGGGATTCAGCTCAGCCTGGTAGTCAGTAGAGGCAGGTCCAGTCCCCTCCTCCCTTCACCCAGGCTGAGCAAAGTGTCCCAGCATAGGCCCTAGGTTCCAAAAAGCCAGTTCATGCGCTAAGGACAGGCCTGGGGGCCTCCTAAATAGTTCAAGCTAATCAACTGTCTCACTTATCCAGAGGGCCTGATCCAGTTCCATGGGGGCTCCTCAGCTATTGGTTCATAGTTCATGTGTTTCCACTAGTTTGGCTATTTGTCCCTGTACTTTTTCCAAGCATGGTCTCAATATCTCTTGCTCATACAGTCCCTCCTCTCTCTCACCAATTGGACTCCTGAGCTCCGCCTGGGGCTTGGCCGTGGATCTGTGCATCTGCTTCCATCAGTCACTGGATGAGCGTTCTATCATGACAGTTAGGGTGTGTCTTTAAGGTAGTAACTGTTAACTCTGTTTAGAAGAGCTTACATGACTCTTAGACTTGGTAGAGTCTAAGATGGTTCTTTTAAACGCTGATCAAGTCCTTTTTACTTTTTGTCTGTCTGTGTGTCTGTGTGTGTGCCTGCAATGATGCATTTGTACAGTTGTGCCGGTGACCTGGGAGCTCAGAAGAGGATGTCACAGTGTTTGGAACTGGAGTTATAGGCCATTTTAAGTTGTTCATTGTGGGTACTAGAAACTAAACCAGGGCTTATTATTGACTAGATAAATTGATTCCAATGATAGCTACAGTTAAGAAAGTACAAAACCCATACAAACACTGTAATATTCATTTTGCTATTCAAACAACAAAAAAATGGGATAGCAAGGTTTTTTATTTATTTATTTATTTATTTTAACCATTAGGGTTTGTCTACCTGTCCGTATACTCTCCCTAGACACTGACTACAAGTGGAGAAGCAAATTAACCGCCCCCACACATGTGGCATCTTACAGATGTGGTACTTTTCTGTGGCTGCTGAAAAAAAGTACTATAAACCGGACGATTATAGACACAAGAAGACTGAAACCACATGTCAGGTGGTCTATCCTCTCTGTGCCAACTGTTCATCTCCCCAGACAAAGTGTTTGCATTTTGGTGGCAATCTTTTGCATCATTTCTGTTACATGGCTGTCCTCTGCCTGTGTATCTTCACGATGTATTTCCTCAGTGTCTACCTGACTCAGTATAAAAGTTTCCTCTTTCCTATAAAAACGCCTGTCATAGTGGATTAAGGCTCATCCAAATGACCACATTTTGACTAGTTTCCCTCCGTAATGACCACATTTCAAATACGCTCACATTAAGAAGTTATGGAAGTTCAGCCTAATTTTAGGGGGAGGAATACAGTTCAAACACAAAAATAACCAGCTAATGCAGATGTCATTGACACTTCCTCAAAGCAGGGTTTTTTTTTCCCCCTGGGAAGATATTAGAATTTTGTTTACATGAACTGTCAATGCAGGTAACAAACACAATGCTTGAGACATCTGTGCTGTCAAAAATGACTGGTGTTTTATTCCCTAGCACTTGCAATGATACCCAGGTAGCACCCATGAACATTATTAATTAGAAGTTGCAGTTATTAATACAGGCACTGCTAGGTTTGCTGCTACTTCATACATTAATAATAAAGCATATATATCATGATGCAATATTTTTATAATAGCAATTAATTAAAATTTATTTTGATTTAATTATATTTTAGTCATTTAACAATGTTAGTCTGAGAAAAATCCAATTAAAGTTTAACCCAGAGCCTCAATGGCTTTTCACACTTCAGACTTAAGGTAACTTTAGACTTAGCAGTCAAGAATTAAACAGGACATTATACATCAAACAATTTCTTTTACCACTGTCCATCATGAAAATACAGTATTTTACATTTAACTCAAAATATTTCTCTCATACACCCAACAGAAACCTGAAACAAAGTATCATAAAACAATTATTTATCCTTAAAATATAGTATGCTTTATTTATAACTAGTTCTAGAATAGAAATGAAATAATTTTGTTAAGCATTTTTAGTGACATTTCCATAGAAATTTCTCATAGCATATCATAAAAAGTGAAAGCTCATGTTACAAACATACATTTTGTATACATACATACATGTCTACCTACTTATATATCTATTTACACACATGCACACACACATACCCATATATATGCACACACATAATTTTAGAGGTGGCATTTAGATGAGCAAATACTTCAACTAACCAGGCTTTACTTAGACAACTGATTATTTAATGAGTTATGTAAATTTAATAGTATAAACTGAAATGTTACCAAATGTAGGAATGAAAGGTAAAAAATAAATATTCTAGGTAATTTAAATGCTATAAAATGCTTTAAATCCCCAGAGTTTAATCTAATTGAGGAGTTTCTTCAGCCACAACTACAGTGTCAGGTACAGGAGTTTCTCAAACAATATTTACTTGAACTGAAGTATAAAACGTTTTACCTGTAGTAAACTCGTAATGTCTGTATTTCTTCTTCCAGCCTTTTGTACTGTTCAACTGCAGTTTCTCTGGCTTGCTGCATCGACAGTAATTTTGCCTGCAAATATTAGTTTTGGCATGTTAAAACACAGGATGAAGTGTGAATATGAGTTAAGTCCTTTGTTAGTTTAAAATTCTAGCCATATTTTTAGCAATCACAGTTCTCCACAAAAATAGTAGAAACATATGGGTAATCCATATACTAAAGACAAACTTTAGTAAATGTATTAACTTGGCTAGTTACTAAGCTTCAATCTTATTTTATCTGTATTATCAGATATGCCCTTCTGCAATGTTTAACTTTATACACAGAATTGAGAATGTGGAACATGGGTTCAGAGAAGCGTCTAGAGTAGAGATAAGCACAATGGGCATTTCAGATACAAATTTAATGTGACTCCAATGCCTGATCTCACTCGATTTTCTTTTAACTTTATTAACAGTAAAACTCAGAAAATTCTAAGTATTTTGTCAAGCCATCTTTGATACACAAAACTATGACCTGATTCTTACAGATATAAGTTAACCTTTTCAATTCCTTTTCTGCAAGGGAAAATTTTTCCCTGAAAAGTAGATTGATGGCAGCTTTTATAGCTAGATATACTTTGCTCAAGGATATTATCTTAACATATAGGCAACTAAGTCTACAAAATATTAAATTGAGTTTATTCTAACTGATAAACCATCATCATCATACATCTTAGCAGGATCAGTGGCGTTTTCATGTATGTATATCTTGTGCAATGTTTGGAACAAGGTAAACTTTTCTATATCTTATAGATTTATGAGTATTTTGTGGCATAAACTTTTAAGGTATTTTCTCCTAGCTTTTTTCAGTGAATTGTTATCTGTATTTTTATTTTGGTAGGGTTCAAAGTTGTAATTTTAAAATAATTTTCCATGTTCCCACCATCATTTCCACAAGTTTTAAGAAATGTTAAAAAGAGTTTAACATTACTTTAAAAATAAGGTATTAGTAAGTCAAGTTTTAGTATTATTTATTCAAAGTTCAATTTGCATGCAAATACTATGTCTCAGTTTAAATAGTCTTTGACAGTGAACATGCAATTGTTTCAAACCTTGAAAACTACACTGTCAATAATAAAAGTAATTTAAATTCTGGAGTTTTAGCATTTTGTTGAATGCATATGATTCAGTGGAATTAGTTTCTTGCATAAGAATGCAGTAAATAAGAAAAATAATAAAAACACAATTATGAGAAAATTAATTAGTGTAATGAAAATGAACACTGGATAATGTAACTTTTCTATTTTAATAATGGAAAATTATAAAAGCATGCAGCAGTCTGGATATTTGCATATAAGCTTAGGAACAAGATATTAGTTTGTTTTCTATCTGGGCTAAAGAATTCTAACAGATTTATTCTGTAATTAAATGTAAGAAGTTTGAATGGTTGTTTTAGCCTTATGTATTCCATAACTATAGGGGAGATATCCCTGCAAACTAGGAAAAAAACATTCAAAATAAACTCATTTCTATGTTTAAAAATTTTTGTTTTTCTTTATATCCTTATATATATGTCTTACCATTTATATTTTTGTACCTTTTCTACTTATAGTCTTATTTTTAGGTCAAATTTCATGAAAGTGAAACATATATATGACATCAAGTAAGAATACACACAGATTTTAGCAATTAGGCTTATTGAGTTATAATTTCCGGAAAGTTAAACTCAATGATTTCAATCATATTAAACGTGTTTTTATGAGGCAGAGTAAGAACTCTTGGTAAGGTTGTTCTGTAACACATAGCGCAGCCCATGTCTTGAACTTGAGGCGATCTTCTCTTCAGTTTTTCCATGCTGCCACTACAGGCATGAGCCACCACATCTGGTCACTTTTGTAAACTCTGACCAATATATGTGGTCATGTGACCAGCATCACACTCAAGATATGAAGCATTCCCATTACCTCCAAATGTCTCATTGCACACCAATGCGGTCACTAGCCTCCTTTTATACTTAGCCTCTGTCCCTATATCTTTGCCTTCTTAGATTATATAAAAGACATATAGCCATTAATTCTAGCTTATTTTACTTAATATACTTTGAGATTAATCTACATTATTGCATGTTCCAGTAGTTCATTCCTTTATAATCAGTGAACAATGCTACACTGAGAACCATGATGTGACTATCTATTCACCAATTGATTGATGTTTTACTTTCGTTTTAGAAGTCATTAATACAACTGCTCTAAATATCTGTGTATATGTCATTTCTCTTGAGTAACTGCCTAGAAGCAGAATTTCTGGGTCCTATGGTGTGTATATTTATATATTCTGTGAAGAAATCACAACACTTGGTGATTTCACTGAAACAATCTTAGAAGGACGTTAGCTGTTGAATTCCTGTTATGGGATGAGATGGTGCCAAGTGTTGGAAGACACTATGCAGTCTATCCTTTCAAACTATCTATAGGATAATCTCCCTTATTTCCAGGGGAGACAATGAATCAAATCATCATTAGGTAACAGAATTACTGACAACCAGATTCATCATAATGCATTTTCCACATTGTGTCCCTTTATAATACCTGACATAATAATAAAGACTGGTAACCTAGTGCTAATGTATATACCTATTTTGGGTGCTGTGGTTGAAATAGGACAGCCATTTACTATATTAGAAAGGAAATACACTGTTTTAGTAAGTCTTTTCTAGCAATTTAGAATGGTAGACAAAGGCAGGATTATACTGTTCACAGAACTGAACAATATTTACTGTTGCTATTGTGGATAACAATCTTTATCTTACTTTAAAATCTTTTTATGTTTGGTTTCAATGTGTTTTTAATAGTTATAGTCTGAAATAGTTCAGCCTTCCTTTGGTATCACCAAGATCATTAATGCAAACCTCTTTTCATGACAGAGCAGAGGCAGTTGATTGTCTTCATGATATCTACTAAATAAAGGAGTATGATGTACAAATTAAATTGAGTCAGGATGCAGATTTGGGAAGCATCTTAGAGGTAACACAGTCCTCTGTTTTCATGATAAGGAAATTGTTGCTATTGCAAACATTTGGAACTTGTCCAAGGTTTCACAGCTAATTAAAAAGAAGGCTGAAACTAGAATACAAATATTCATAAAGCATTGTTTATTTTACATTACAAGACCACATTTTAATATGACATAATTTAAGAGTATGTTAATTTTTAAAATAATCATTTTTACAGAATAACCATAAATATGCTGAACTCTGTTATAACTATGAAAATATCTCAAGACATCTCCTTGTGTGTCTTTGAAGATGAGTCTAGATGACTGGTCAAGCAATGACTACAGTCAGCTAGGATTTGAGCTCTCAAACTTGCAAGCAGATTAAAAACTTAGTAGATAACATGTAACTAAAATGCTGGCAAAAAATACCCTAAAAATTAAAAACCTTTATCAAAATGATAAAACTGAGACTTCATTTACATCTCTCTCTCTCTCTTTCTCTCCCTTTTAGATACAGAATTTGTTTGCTCACTACATTGTGTAATGCTCTTTAGAGCATTTTTAGTGGTTATATTTTACCCTCATGTCATGCCTTTTGATTTACCAAAATGGAGACAATTGAGTCAGTCCTTCATGTAAAGAGAATAATATATGTACTGTTCAATGATCTATGAGGTGATCCAACATCAGAGAGAAAATAGGCAATTGTGGTAGAAACAGAAACTATAGTATTAATAACTGAAGTTGATTCTTGAGCTGGAAGCACAATTCATAGAACTGAGGTAGAAAATCTAGAGAGAAGTATGCTAGAAGCACAGCCTGGCAAGGTTCCCATGGTAGGAACCAGGGACCTGGGAGGCATCCTGGCTCCCTACTTGCAAGCTGTCTCATTAGGCAACCTAATATTCCACTTTTTTCACCTCAAGGTGCTAATACTAATAAAATATAATAAAACCAAATGAAATACATAAACTAGTAGCCAGCACATAGAAAATGCTTTAATGATCTATCATTGAATAAATAGTAGGAAAAAAAGTCAAATCACGAACTTGGTGAGTTAGGTGTTGAGTAGGTAGTAAATATCCACTAAACAGATGAAGAAAATAAATTTTCAGCATCACTCTGCTTTATAAGCTTAACATCTTTTGACTCAGACCAAAAGTTGATACGTCTCTGTGAAGCTGTTTGAGTTTTCTTATTATCTGAAGTATCTCTACCAAGAAAACCATTGTGGACCAAGATCATACATACACACCATTTATTAATTATGTGCAATATATTAAGAAATTTAAAGAAGAAAAAGACAGCCTTGCTTTCTCAGGCACATTTTGCTCTATCCCCTTTCTTGGCTATACAGATTCTGTGCAGTGCACAGGACTCAATATTATAAAGTTTATAAAAGACTTAAAGTATAAGATGTTATTGAATTTGACATGGTAGGAAATTGAATGCTTTTGTTGAAGGGATAAATGTTATTTCTATTATTTTGGAAGGGAGGAAAATAAGAGAGAATAGCATTATTAACTGTGTGGATACTTTAGTAACAAGAAAAAGGATATAGAAAGAAATCCAAGTTTTCCAAATCATCATAATGTTATAATTTTATACATACCCACAACAAAATGAAAATACTGCACAGCAAACAATGTTCTATGAAGTCATTTACTTATTTCTTATAATGCACCATAATGGTAGCTTCTATTTCCATTTCACAAATGAGAAGATTGCTATGTAACTTACAGAATGTCAGCTGGCTACTAAGTGGTGGAACAAGAATTTGAATTCAGTACTCTGTGGTGATTATTGTGTACCCCAATAAAGCTTGCCAGAGGATAAGAGGACAGAGCCAGCCACTAGATTAGAAACAGAGCCAGACAGTGGTGGCATATACCTTTAATCCTAGTACTTGGGAAGTACACATGCCTTAAATGGCTGGGCAGAGAAAGGCATATAAGGCCTGAAGAAACAGGAACTAGAAGCCTTTTCGGCTGAAGAAGCTCATTTGGCTAGAGGCCTATCGGCTGAGGCTTTTTCAGGCTGAGGAATTGGTGAGGTAATAGGTGGTGGCTGTGGCCTGCTCTGCTTCTCCGATCTTTC